AGGAAGCTAGAGAAAGCTAGAGGAAGCTAGAGGAAGCTAGAGGAATTTAGAGGAAGCTAGAGGAAGCCAGAGGAAACCAGAGGAAGCTAGAGGAAGCTAGAGAAAGCTAGAGGAAGCTAGAGGAAGCTAGAGGAATTTAGAGGAAGCTAGAGGAAGCCAGAGGAAACCAGAGGAAGCTAGAGGAAGCTAGAGAAAGCTAGAGGAAGCTAGAGGAAGCTAGAGGAATTTAGAGGAAGCTAGAGGAAGCCAGAGGAAACCAGAGGAAGCTAGAGGAAGCTAGAGAAAGCTAGAGGAAGCTAGAGGAAGCTAGAGGAATTTAGAGGAAGCTAGAGGAAGCCAGAGGAAACCAGAGGAAGCTAGAGGAAGCTAGAGAAAGCTAGAGGAAGCTAGAGAACGTCAGAGAAAGCCCGCTCGGCTAACACGCCGTCTCAAATACACAGAATTTAGCATCGACTTTCGCCGGACCGGTTCCACCTCCTCGATCCGAATGTCCGAACACGGCGCGACGGGGTACGCTAGCGGCGACGACGCCCGTGCAGCTGCCGAGCGAAGTCAGTCCGGATCGAGTCCGGAGGCGGATCCGCGGTGGCGGCCGGACGCGGGCGCCGACGAGCGGCACGCTGAAACGAACTTCGGTCCGGATTCGCGTCGTGATGCGATTGCATCGTACGCCGACGCCGAGGAGGACTCGACGTGCGACACGCACAGCGGCGACAGCGAGGCAAGTAGCGCCGGAAACGTCGCTGCGTCGCGACATCCGCCGCCGCCGACGACGACGCCGACGACGACGGCCGCCAGCATCAAGTTTTCAATCGAGAACATTCTGCGACCGGACTTTGGCCGAGCGAGCGCCGACAGTGCGTCGGCTCACCAGGAGCAGCAGCGTGGCGACGACGCCGACGACGACGCCACCTATCGGAAGCAGCCGATCATGTGGCCGGCGTGGGTCTACTGTACACGCTATTCGGACAGACCGTCATCAGGTAGTAAGTTTGTCAGCCGTGCCTTGTTTATCTATATAGTGCATGCGTATATATATATACGGGGTAAACGAGCTTACAACGTAAGATTTTTCAAAGTATAAATAAAGTTAGATCTTGCAAAGTAAACAATGTACGATCTAACAATGGAAAGTTGTCTGCGCGTTTATATTCTGCTCAATAATTCGCCAACTGCGTTTAATAGATGTATAGGGTGACGCGGGAAGCAATGTAAACGCTTACAATGTAAACTCGTTTACGCCTCTATATCATACTTAATAATAGGGCAATTATGTTCAATGGGAATATATGATAACAATGTAGAATACAATGCAAGTTATCATAATCTAAACATTATTCCCTCATGGTGGAGATTACGCTAAATAATACTGCATTTATAATCTTATAATCTATAGGAATACAAGAGGTAAATCTACACCGACTATTTTTTAAATCGGTGAATTTAAATTATATATATATATATATATATTTATATATGCGTATATATATATAGCCCTATATATATATATGCAACTACGATTAGGTAGAAGAATATGTTGTATTCTATATAATAAATTACCGTTACGCCAGAAGGGGAGTAAGTCGGAAGGGTGTGCCGTGCCGTGCCGGAGCATTAGTAGCTGAGAGTAACGAGAGTGGATAAATAAAATCCCGCGCATTGCGGGAAAGAATGACCTGTCGTCTGAAATCACCCCCCCCACACACACACTCAAAACACGCACGTACGCACACACACGCACACGCGCGCGCGCACACACACACACACACACACACACACACACACACACACACACGTGCGCACACACACATGCGCGCGCGCACACACACACACACACACACACACACACACACACACACGTGCGCACACACACACAACACACACTCACACACACACACACACACACACGCGCGCGCGCGGGCGCGCACACACACACACACGCACACGCACACGCACACGCACACGCACACGCACACGCACACGCACACGCACACGCACACGCACACGCCACACGCACAGCACGCACACGCCACACGCACACGCACACGCACACGCACACGCACACAGACACGTGCGCGTACACACACACACACACACACACGTGGCCCACACACACACACACACACACACACACACACACACACACGATATTGCGCGCAGCACACACCACACACGCACAACGCACACAGACACGTGCGCGCACACACACACACACACACACACGTGCGCACACAACACGCGCGCACACAACACACACACACACACACACACACACCACACACACACACACACGACTTATGGCGCACATCCACGCACGCATGGAAAAGCACAAACGCGCACGTGCACACGTCCGCCACGGGTCGCTCTCGCCCTCTCCCTACACACAAATACGCTACACATGCACGTGCGCCACACTACGCATATAGACGCGCACGCACTTGGGGGCATATATCTTCCTTGCTATGTATAACTATATATATATATATATATATATACTAATATATATATTTATATATTCTGCTTGTATTTACTGAACTGTCAACTGGCACGGACGACGGTAACATGATTATTCAAGTGGCAGAAGCTCTAGAAATAAACGCGTCAAGCTTACAGATAAAAAATTCCAATATTTAAGAGAATGAAGAGGCAGACGCTTATAGCACCTGGGTGCGAAAAAAGCGGAGACCCGTCACTCGTATACAGCCAACGCACCCGTTAGCGCGTTCTGTTCTTCAAGCGATGAATCTCGCCTCACTTCGACACGCTTGAAACGCCGAGAAAAAGCAGCGTTTTTGCTGATGCTGGCGGCATTCTCTACAGGTATAGCATTGCGTCTTTCTTCTCTCTCTTTCTCTCTCTCTCTCTCTCTCTCTCTCTCTCTCTCTCTTGTCTCTCGCCCTCGCCCTCTCTCTCCTCCTCTCTTTCTCTCTCTTTCTCTCTCCTCTCTCTCTCTCTCTTCTTTCGCTTTCCGTCGCTTTCTCTCTCTCTCTCTCTTCTCTCTCTCTCTCTCTCTCTCTCTTGTCTCTCTCGGTGTCTCTCCCTCTCTGCCGTCTCGCTCTCTCCCCCTCTCCTCTCTCTCTCTTAATTTGTCAGGCGCCTTACAGAAATACACTCTAACACGCGTTCGCGCATCCCTGCAACTTTGACAGGTTATAAGACATGTTCTAATTTGACAGGTTCCCGCGTTTTTACCCCCAAAACTTCAGAAATAACTCGAAACGATGGACTCGTACGACCCCCCCCCCCCACCCGCCGCCCGCCGCCGCTGCCCGCCACCCGGCCGCGCTGCACGCAAATGCTAATCTTCTCGTGACTGACGGGATCGTAAAACCGCAACCAATTATGACGGCGTATCCAGAAAGAGAGAGAGAGATGGAGGAAGAGAAGGGGAGAGAGAGAGAGAAATAGTGAGAGAGAGCGAGAGAAAGGGAGAGAGAGAGAGAGAGAAATAGTGAGAGAGAGCGAGAGAAAGAGAGAAAGAGAGAGAAATAGTAAAAGAGAGAGAGAGAGTGGGAGAAGGTAAGAGAGAGAGAGGAGAGACACAAAGAAAGGAATAAAGAGAGAGAGAGAGATGCAGAGGGAAAATGACAGAGGCTGTACGTACGGCAAGCAGATTGTATAGCCAGTCCCATGATGATTCACCCCAGCGCCTAAGAATAGTTTACGGGGCCAGGCGGCGCAGCCACCCGACACTTATGCGTTTCGTGAGTTGAAACTAGTTAATTTGAACGCGCTTTAAAGAGTATTAACATGTGCTCGCGATTGAAGTCTGTAGAGTCAATAGGAAAACTGGCAGATGTTTCATGCTCGAAGCGTATTAAAGCAAAATTCTGCCGTATTTTAAAGCTTAAAGTGATTACGTCACCGTAAATAATTTAAAAAATAATAATATTTCCATTTTTTCACAAATTATAAGTAATTCTGTTCACTTTTTATGGTTAAATTGCTGCATTATACTTCCTGTTTTACTATATTGTTCGATGTGAACATACACTCGTGACTCATACATGACCCATGGCAAGCAATTAATGTCAGGAACATAATATCAAATCCTCTAGGTTTTTTTGATTTTTAACTAGTTGAGAAACAATCTTATATCAGGTAAGAATTTAACGATATGTTTAGTCCCGTTAGTTCTTACTTTTAATGTAAAAAAATGGCAACAACATTTTTACAAATTTTACCATAGAAAATTCGTGGCGTAGTCAATTTAAAGCACGGAAAAATCATTCATCTCAGCGCATTTTAAGAGCGAAAAGACGAAGAGGTCGCGCTACACAGCGGTCTACTATATAATATAGAGGACAGTCAAGGTAAAGCAGTGATCTATACGTGAGAACGTAACTAAGCTTCGCGTGAGCACATATAACTCAAACAAAAACGCGAAATTCCGAAAGAGAAAGCTCATCGCTTTTGTTCAAAATTAACTAAATAATTAAGTTAAATTAAGTTAATTTAATTAAGTTAATTAATTCTCCGAGATCCTGATCAAATGAAATAAGAATATACAGGCTGACAGATAGACAGATAGACAGATAGACAGATAGACAGCCGGACATGCAGACATGCAGACAGACAGACCGACGACGGACAGACAGACATACAGACAGACAGACAGTAAAACTGACATTAACTTAAGCGATCTCAAAAGTGCAGGTATAGCGTGTTTAACGCGTCAGTTCTTAAACCGTGTTTGTTGAAGTGGAACTGTGTTACGTTACTATATATCAGGTGGAAAATCAGGCAAATGCGTCTACAGTCCGTATTCACGAACTAACCGCTAGCTATAGCTAACACACGCCCAGAAATCTCTGCTGCTGTAGCGCTTTATAGCTGCGAGCAGGAATTTTAAATTGATTATGTATTTTTGCGGCTTGGATGTATGTTTGGCCGATGAGAGATGGGCGCTCTCTCAGCCGCCGGCTACGGTGGCGGCCCCACCGCACCGCCACGACCGCCGCAGCGAAGCACGCTCGGCCACCAACTTGTATGTTTACTTATCTATTGTGAACTTTTGAAACGCCCTCTGGCGATCGCTTCTCTTTAAAAAATATAATGAATTACGATGTGTGCGCACGTCGCCTCCGCGCTCAGTAGATACAGCGCTGGTGGGAGGTAATGATCATACACATGTGTGTGTGTGTGTGTGTGTGTGTGTGTGTGTGTGCGTGCGTGCGTGCGTGCGTGCGTGCGTGCTGTCGTGCCGTGCGTGCGTGTATGTGTGTGTGTGGTCGTCGTGCGGTGTGTGGTGTGTGTGTGTGTGTGCGTGCGTGTGTGTGTGTGTGTGTGTGTGTGTGTGTGGTGTGTGGTTGTGTGTGTGTTTGTGTGTGTGTGAGAGAGAGAGAGAGAACGAGAGCGAGGAAAGTGAGAACGAGAGAGAGAGAGAGCGACGCAGACAAATAGACAGTGCACGAGAGAGAGACAGAAAGCGAAGAGAGAAAGAGAAAGAGAGGGAGGCGAGAGGAGAGAGAGAGAGAAAGAGAGAGAGGTGAGAGAGAGCGACGCAGACAAATAGATAGATAGATGGATAGATAGATAGACAGACAGACAGACAAATAGATAGATAAGATAGTAGATAGATAGATAGAGATAGATAGATTAGATAGGATAGATAGATAGATAGATAGATAGATAGATAGATAGATAGATAGATAGATAGATAGATAGATAGATAGATATAGATAGATAGATATAGATAGATAGATAGATAGATAGATAGAGTATGTAGATAGATA